ATAAGCCAAAGGTTTACTGAGTGCCTATTATGTGGCAGTGGTTGTACCAGTTGCTGTAGACAGAGACAAGCATATCTCAGTCCTTCCTTGGTGGTAGTTACAAAAGTGAGCACTTTATGCTGGCCTTGTGACTGGCGTATCTGGGCACGAGGCTGTGACTTAGCCGAGCTCCTGCATAAGGCAGTGTGGCTTTCCTTCTTACTGCTCAACTCCTAGCTACATATATAATCCTTTTTCCCCAGACTATGCCTATTTTTATGTGACGGTCTGGCAAAAACAGACAAGGTCTTCTAAAAAATTGAACTCTTTTTTCTTTTTCAAAAGAAACAAACAGCAAGCTGGTAGGAGAATGAATGGGAAAAAAGAAAAGATGAGAGATGGTGGCGGGGTGGAGAAATGAACAAAAAGGAGATGCCTCTCATTCTCTCTTGTTTATTTTAATTTGATGCTCTGGGGTTATGTCTACAAAGATAAGTAAGGTAGTATTAGTGTAAACTTAAGTTGCTTTTCAGAAAAGTTCACGCCATGGGAGTGGATGTTGCTAAACTTCGTCCTCTGGCATTCTCCCCAAGGATATTGTCCCCCTTGACTCAGGTCAAGCGTTGTTTGTTTGGCTGAGAGGAGAGGTGGCTCCAGGAACAAGATTTATACTGCTCAGGGCCAGATCTAGCCAGATACGCTAGGGTGGCAGAGTTCACATTTGTTCCTAGCTCAGCATTGCCTCCACCACCACGATGCCACATGTGTGTACAAGAAGTGACAGACCACTGTGGGTTCAGCAGAGGGTGACCCGCTTTCACTGCGCAGCCCCTGCACTCCTGCCATGCCCATCCAGAGGACTTGCATCTTGAGGCAATGAGTCTGTGAGACTGGCAATTAAAGCATGAGGAGGAGAGGTGGTTTGGGACCTCACTGTGGTTCTCAGTGTCTCGTAAATAATATCAGTTTGTCACATTAGACTTCTTCCAGTTTCCTACAGTTCCTGGGCTTAGCTTTGGCTTGGGATATGTGTATGGGGAGAAGAGAGATTTCTAGGCCAGTAGCCCCACCATAAGACTGGGCTGAGATTAGACTGGAGGGCCCTGATGTGTTACCAGAGGTTGGGGACTTGGCTTGTGCAGGCAAGATCTTCAACTTTCTTTGATTGGAATCCCTGCTTTTCTTCTAAAAAACCCCATTTCCCAGAAACTTAAAGCACAGTTAACACTAACACCATCTCTCAGGACCTCTGATCTTTTTATTTACTGCTCTGGAATATCCCTGTGACCTCTTAAACAGCCCTTCACTCTTGGCAGAGAAACCTCCCTAAATCTGTTTGTAGCCAAGGAACTTCAGATGACCATCTGGGAAGGAATAAACTTCATAGTGACTTCCAGTCTGGGAATTGCTTTGCCTCTGAAAGGAAGTACACTTCTCCTCTAGGGACTAACCGTGCTAGACACTTCCCACCTACTGGCGGTTCCGGCCATCACTCCCACCTGCCTGCTCGCTGCGCTCCACTGACAGGTCTCCCCGAAAGGCAGGAGCCCTGTTCTTTCCTTCTCCCGCCTTGATTCCCAGCCCTTCCCCTTGAGTTTGTCTGTCCCTGACCCCACTGGCCTTCACCGCCCCCGAAGTACGCAGTTGTCACTGCCTGCCTGCCTCCCCAGCTCCCGGTCCTGCCACGCCACCCTGCGGGCATGCTCCCACCCGCGGCCGGTCTTGAGCTATCCTTTGGCTGACTTGCACCTTCTTCTGTTGCCCCGCCTCTTTCTCTGTCCCTCAGGTGGGCATCAACTACCAGCCGCCCACCGTGGTGCCAGGGGGGGACCTGGCCAAAGTGCAGCGGGCCGTCTGCATGCTCAGCAACACCACGGCGATCGCGGAGGCCTGGGCCCGCCTCGACCACAAGTTTGACCTCATGTATGCTAAGCGGGCCTTTGTGCATTGGTACGTTGGAGAGGGAATGGAAGAAGGAGAATTCTCTGAGGCCAGGGAGGACCTGGCTGCCCTGGAGAAGGATTATGAAGAAGTGGGGACTGATTCATTTGAAGAAGAAAATGAAGGGGAGGAATTTTAAATATACATCTGCCCCTTGACCGTGTCTCTTTATTTACGCCACTTCACTCGAAGTACATCACCTGTTTGAGAGTAACAGACCCCAGCCCAACCCCAGTCCCAACCCAGCCCGATTCCTGCCTTGCCCAGGGCGGCTGCATGACGCTGGTACCCACGGGTGACGTGACTAGGCCACAAGTGGACGCTGAGCTCCATCAGACCTTCCCTTGGGTTAGAGCAGCTTCGTGTCACTAAAGAAGATGAGTGTTGCCGGGCGCGGTGGCTCGCGCCTGTAATCCTAGCTCTCTGGGAGGCCGAGGCGGGCGGATTGCTCAAGGTCAGGAGTTCAAAACCAGCCTGAGCAAGAGTGAAACCCCGTCTCTACTATAAATAGAAAGAAATTAATTGGCCAACTGATATATATATATATATATAAAAAAATTAGCCGGGCATGGTGGCGCATGCCTGTAGTCCCAGCTACTCGGGAGGCTGAGGCAGAAGGATCGCTCGAGCCCAGGAGTTTGAGGTTGCTGTGAGCTAGGCTGACGCCACGGCACTCACTCTAGCCTGGGCAACAAAGCGAGACTCTGTCTGAAAAAAAAAAAAGAAGAAGAAGAGTGTTGCTGTGTTTGGGTGAGGGGCATTGAAGTCATGTGTGAGGAGGCCTAATCGGGAGTTTCCTTCTAGATCAGGCTGGGTCTGACCCCAAAATGTGGCCTGGTGTCTGGAGAATGGGGAAACACTGGAGAAAGAAAGATCTGGGCACTGGGGAGATTCCCGGGAGGGTGTGGGCAGAAGGGCACAGTACCGGTCGGCAGCATGTCCGGCATCACCGAGAGCCATCACACAGTCACCCGTCCACCGGCCATTTGAACACACGCTGTCTAAGAGCCAGAGACCGACGCATTTCCCGTCCCCATAAGCTCATGAGCGAATGAACGAGATCTCCCAGCTGGTGCTGGGAGAGATGAGAGGAAGTGTCTGGGAGTGTCCTGGGCGCAGGGTGCTCAGACAAGGCCTCACCTGGACTGGATGACCTGAGGCTCTGGAGCAAGAGGATCCAGGTGTGGGGATAAGCAAGTGCAAACACAGGGCGAGCTCAGAGCATCTGCAGAGCAGAAAGGAGGCCGGCGTGTCTGGAGGGTGGCGAGAGGTGGGAAGATGCAGAGGGCGTCCAGCCTCCCAGGCCGGAGAAGGACTTTAGATTTGCTCTCAGTGAAGCAGGAGCATGGGACGGTGTCAGGCAGGGTGCGTACTGAACCTCGCCTCCATACACACAGCGCTTACCTCCGCTCCTCCCAGCAGTCTCAGCGTGGACATTCTGCTGATTTCATAGATGAGGAAATTGAGTTAGAGGGTTCAGGTGTTGGGGACGGTAGGAGGTGCAGCCCAGTTGGCAGGGCCCACAAGCTCTGTCTGCCCTGCACTGTTGCCACTGCTTGGTGTGTGTGCCAGGCTCCAGTGGCTCCTCATAAAATGAAGGGTGGGGAGAAGGAAAAGACTGTCATTTACAAAGGAGAGGATGAGTAAATGCATCTCTTCCCTGAAGTTGGCAACTCTGGCAGAATTTCAGGGATTATCAAAGGCTGCTCTTACTAACCAGCCAGTAAGACACCCAGGACCCGGCCTGTGGTTCAGCGCACACCTCCTTACCTGCGGGCTTGCCCCTAGTGTTTCTATCCTATATTCCTTAGAAGCCCTGAGAGAAAATAGAATAAAATATTCCAAGAAAGGGGAGACTACATGGAGGGGATGCTAATCACTTCTAGAGGATTGTTTCCTTCTTCTATAAGGAAATCATGGTGCCAAAAGGGGAGGTCAGATCTGTTGTCCACTGTGGCCTCTCTTGCTGGAGATCCCCGCTGCACCAGGTCCCCCTGCACCAGGTCCCCCTGCACCAGGTCCCCCTGCACCAGGTCCCCCCTGCATCAGGTCCCGCTGCACCAGGTCCCCCTGCACCAGGTCCCCCCTGCACCAGGTCCCCCCTGCATCAGGTCCCGCTGCACCAGGTCCCCCTGCATCAGGTCCCGCTGCACCAGGTCCCCCTGCACCAGGTCCCCCCTGCACCAGGTCCCCCTGCACCAGGTTCCCCTGCACCAGGTCCCCCTGCACCAGGTCCCCCTGCACCAGGTCCCCCCTGCACCAGGTCCCCCTGCACCAGGTCCCTCTGCACCAGATCCCACGCGAGCCGTCCTGGCGGCTGTCAGCTCCCTCTCAGGAGAGGCATATTCTCTCTTGCAAAGGCGAGAGACCTACTCATGAATTTCAGACAAGCTTTAAAGGACTTCATGAGTGTAGGAGTATGACCTAATTAGGGACAGGATAACACACCCCTAGGCCAGGATTTAGGGCTGGGGCAAATAACACTTGATGTGTTCCTTTCCTTGATATTTATGTGACTTAGGTTAAAATAAACATGAATGGCAAAGTCATAAAAGTGATGCCTAAGAGGTATGAGTACAGGCAGGCGGGCTTCAGGAAAGTGTGGGGTAACGTATAAGGGCTTTGGGTATATCCTCCCACACCAACCAGTTTATCCTGTTCTGTTTTTCCTCATTTGGGTGAGTCTCTGTCCAGCCAGGGGGGCGGGGTCCTCTAGCCCCACTCAGCTTTCACAGCTCTGTTCACACAGTAGGTGTACTGAGTTTTAGAACTGAAGATAAGGGTCCCTAGAAAGAGGGTGAGTAGAAAAGTGGGTGATTCTACAGTTCCCCAAGACAGGTAGTTTTCTAAGCCTTTCCCCAGCATGGGTGTGGCTGGAGACGTCTTAGACTGTAAAGCAAGTCTGGCAGGCACTAGCTGAAGGCTGGCGTCAGAAAAGAGAATGGTGCCACAGCCTCGGGCAGGTGGCTTGCTTGGCTCACTGGGCAAAACAGCCACATACCCAGTCTCTCGACTCCCAGTGACGGCTCTCTTAAGGATGCCCCACATCATATTTACTTGTCAAGAAAAGTTATTCTTACTTTTTTATACTTTACCCCAGAAAAAAGAGAATCCATAGTTAACATAATATCCAATGAAATCTTTCAGATGTGCTTGGTTCTCTCTTCTCTCTGGTTTGGGAGCATGCGTATTGCTCTGTACCCGCCACTGCCGTGTTTTCAGTCCTGAGTTCTGGGCAAGAGGGACACACCTCCAGCCTTTCGACAGAAATCAGCTTAGCTTCCAGAATGAACCTGAGGGAGAAGACAGTATGTGTATTTTATCTGCCCTTGCTGGTTCTATCAGCAATTTGAGCTAGCCCCACCATTCTGAGTTTTTGTGTCACTGGGTTGAGGCCAGTGTCACTGTCTTTCCTATTGCAATGCAAATTGAAAGGGTGGCCTTGCTGAAATAACAGGAAAATATCTAATCTCACAATTTTCTAACAACAGCTATCTATCCTGTAAGCTCTCTCTGCGTCCCCAACGCTGGCCGGCACCCTGCAGGGACTCTGTTTTCACAAACATCTGAAAGGAGCCCAAAACACAGAGAGAAATGTAAGTCTTTTTCTTTACATTTGCCGGAAACTGCTTTTACAATTTGTTTTACAGCCTTCCAGGTGTTCCTGAGAAGCTCCTCGACGGACAGCAGGGGGAAATGCCAGGCCTTATTTTCCTGCCCAAACTATATCTCAGGGGCAAAATCACATCCCTTCCATAAGCCTGACTACATTTCAGAGATAACCAAGTCTCCAGGAACAGAGAAAAAGAAAGAAAGACAATCTGACGTCTCACAGCAGCCCGCTAATTACACCATCTGCACCTCTGTTTCAACCGACAACAATCACTGTTTTTTCCTTCTTTCTCTTTCCCCATAAAAGCAGCAAGCCACTCGGCCTCCTGCTGGCACCTTTCTCTTCCTTGGGATGCCACTGCTGGCTCTCTGCTTTCCCTCTCTTTCCCCTCTCTCTCATTCTCTCTGTCCTTCTAAAGGACAAAATAAACTTTTAAGTTTTATATCTTGGTTTCTGCCTGAGAAATCTTTCCCTACCCACACCACTGTAATCACATACCAGACTTTCCACCCTAACACAAATATGCTGGGATTGAAAACTTCCCTTTTTGTATTGTGAGTCCAAACTGTCCACAATTTTTTTTAAAAGGTGCCATTATTAGCTTTTTTTTAGGTTGTCAGGGAAAAGAAGCCAAACTCTGCAAAATAATTTAAAGAGGTTTATTCTGAGTCAAATTTGAGGACCGTGACCCAGAGCCACACCCAAGAAACCTTGAGCAAGTGGACTCACTGTGGCTGGGTTACCGTTTGGTTTTATACTTTTTAGGGAGACGGGTTACAGGTAAAGTCACAAAGCAATACATGGAAGACATACATCGGTTTGCCTAAATAGGTGGGACATCTCAAAGTGGAGGGGGGGTGGCTTATAGGTTATAGGTGGGTTTAAAGATTCTTTGACTTATAATTGGCTGAAGACTTGAAGCTTTGTCTAAAGGCTTGGAATGGTTTGAGATAAGGATGTCTGTTAATCAGAGACAAGCCACTGGACATGTTTGTTGTGTGAATTGAGGACCTGCAGGTTTGTCTTGTATAGCTTTAGGCCTGTTAGGGTTACAAAGGATGTCTCCAAGAAAGGAGGGGCATGATGAGGCCTGTCTGACCTCCCTCTTCGTGGCAGGCAATTTAGTTTTAGGATATTCCCTTGGCCAAGAATATCCAATGTACCCTTGGCCACGGTACATTCAGTCAACCAGTGGGGGGGAGTCGTCAGATTTTATTTTAGTTCACAGGTCTTGTGGCAAATTATGTTGGCCATTTTAGGGATGATGGGAGTGAGTGGGTAAGTAGGGCAAAACTAGAATCTGGCAATACTGAGACGAATCAAAGTTTACCGTGTTTAGAATATCCTTCTTCCCTTATGCAACAGAATCCTCAAAGTTAAAGGTGAGTTCTCACTTATTCAAATCGTTTTTTTCATGAATATGCAGTATGGAGCCCCTTACATGACCTTCTATGCACTGTATTTGGGGCTTAGAAACTGAAGTCTAAAATGTAAGACTGCTTGTTAGGCTCATGGTTAATGAGACGGAACATGGTCTCTTTAAGCAGGTTCCATTATCTTGCAGTGGAGGGAAATAAAAACACATAACATGGTCCTCCTTATAAATGTCAACGTGAAAATCATCAGTAAAATGTTAACAAACAGAACCCATACCACATTGGAAAAATACAGCACAACCAAGAAGGATTTATTCTAGGAATTCAACCATGGTTCAATGTTAGAAATTCTATCTGTCTTAAAGCCACCATCTTTGTTGGAGAAATGCTAGAGACATTACTTTAAGGTCAGAATTAAGGCAAGAGTGAAAGATGCCTAGTATTTCTACTACTATTTAAATTCTACTGGAAGTATTGGCTAATGCATAAAAGTATTAGCTAATTACATAAAACAATAGTTAAAAGAATAATTAGAAACAAAGGTGAAAAATATATTTGTAGATGATGATCATATCCTATGGAATCAATGAGAAGACTAGAAGACAAACTCAAACAAAATATAGCCTTCGTTTTATAAACATAATAACCAGTCAGGATGCAGTAGAAGAGAAAACCTCCATTAACAATAGCAACGAAAAAGTTAAATACTTAGGAATAACAATTTAGGAAATGTTAGAAGCCTTTATGCTTCTAACTTTAAACTCAATGACACAAAAGTAGATGAACAAATTTAAAGACATTCCTAACTTGATAGTATCTCTCAAGAAAATAAACATGTAACTCTAAGTTAATTTACAAATGTAATGCAACCCAGTAAAAATGCCCACAAGTTTAAAAAACTCTCATTGTGGAATCATTATAAATCCATAGGAAGCTGCAAAAATAGAGAGATTGAGAGTACCCTTAGCCCAGTTTTCTCCAATGATCATATTTTACATATTACCAAAACCAAGAAAGTGACACTGACACAATGTGTGTGTGTATCTCTGTGATGTTTTATCACGTGAGGACTGAACTCTGATCTTTTTCTTTGCCCCAAAAATTCCTTTCTAAGAGGGCCTGGTGAGTCACTCCTACAAATGATGAAATCTCAGTGAACAGGTTTTTACATGTGGTTTACTCTCAACCTAATTCTGGGATAGCATTATGTGAAGGATGGAAGACCCTTAAGTCAAGCATTTCTTTCTACTGATCCCTGGTCTTTGGACAAAGCCTAACTCTTTCAACTATTTGTCAACTAAAGAATCCCTAAACCCACCTATGACCTGTAAGCTCTGGCTTTGAGATGTCCCACCTTTTTGGGCCAAACCAATGTATGTATGGCCTCCACATACTGATTTATGACTTCACCTATAATCCCTGTCTCTCTAAAATGTATTAAATGAAACTGTAACCCAACCATGGCAAGTCCACTTGCTCAAGACTTCTTGGGTGTGGCTCCAGGCCATAGTCCTTAAATTTGGCTCAGAATAAACCTTAAATTATTTTACAGAGGTTGTCCTATTTTCCATTGGCACGTGTAGATTGGTGCAACCACTGCACTAATCAAGACAAGGATCTTTGTGATCATCACAAAGGTCTCCCCTCTGCTACCCCTCTACATGCACACTCACCATTCCTTCTCCTGCCATCCCTAACCAGGGGCAACTATTAATCCACTCTCTATCTCCACAGTTTTGTCACTTGAAAAATGTTATAAAGATGAAATCATACAATATATAAGTTCCTCTCTATTCCTAAGTTTCCAAGAGTTTTAAATCATGAACGGATAATGAATTTTTTCAAATGCTTTCTTTTCACATCAGTTGATCTGATCTGGGATTTTCTTGTTTAGCCTGATAATATAGTAGATTACATTGATTTTTGAATATTAAACCAGCCTTGCATCCTTGGAATAAATTCTACTTGTTCAAGGTTCTTTTTACTATTGTTGAATTCTATTTGCTAAATTTTGTGAAGGATTTTTATGTCTATATTCATGAGGGATCTTGGTCTGTAGTTTCCTCCTTTTTTGTATTGTCTTTGATTTTGGTATTAGGGTAATATTGGTGTCATAAAGTGAGTTGGGAAGAGTTCCTTCCTCTTCTATTTTTTGAAAGTGTAGAATTGATGTTAATTCTTAAAGCATTTGTTAGAATTCTCCAGTGAAATCAACTGGGCCTGGGAATTTCTTTTTTGGGAGTTTTAAAAGTTAAATGTTTAGTTTCTTTAATATTTTTTTTTTTTTTTTTTTTTGAGACAGAGTCTCACTTTTTTGCCCAGGCTGGAGTGAGTGCCATGGTGTCAGCCTAGCTCACAGCAACCTCAAACTCCTGGGCTCAAGCAATCCTCCTGCCTCAGCCTCTCAAGTAGCTGGGACTACAGGCATGTGCCACCATCCCCGGCTAATTTTTTCTATATATATTAGTTGGCCAATTAATTTCTTTCTATTTATAGTAGAGATGGTCTTGCTCAGGCTGGTTTTGAACTCCTGACCTCGAGCAATCCACCCGCCTCGGCCTCCCAGAGTGCTAGGATTGCATGCGTGAGCCACTGCACCCGGCCTCTTTAATAGTTATAGGGCTATTCAAATGATCTTTTCATATCTTTCGGTAAGTTATAGAAGTTTGTGCTATTCAAGGAACTGGTCCAGTGCAAATAAGTTGTCAAATTTATGTGTGTAGAGTTATGTGTATCATTCCTTTATTATGTTTTTGTGTCTACTGGGTCTATAATACTAACCTGTTTTATGTCTGATGTTGGTAATTTGTATCTTCTCTTTTTTTCTTTGTCAGTGTTGCTAGCTAGAGGTCTGTCAATTTTGCGGATCTTTTCAAAGAATAAGCTTTCTATTTCGTTTATTTTTCAATATTGTGTATCTGTTTTAAATTTCATTGATTTATGCTTTTATTTTTGTTTCCTTCCTTCTGCTTGCTTTGGGTTTATTTTGCTTTTTCTTAGAGTGGGAGCTTAAACAATTGAGACTTTTTTCTTTTCTAACATAAGCATGTAGTGCTGTAAATCTGTAAATTTCTCAGCACTGCTTTACCTATGTTCCACAAATTATTATTTTTATTATTATTTTTGAGACAGAGTCTCTGTTGCCTGAGCTAGAGTGCCATGGCATCAGCCTAGCTCAAGTGATCCTCTTGCCTCAGCCTCCCAAGTAGCTGGGAGTATAGGCATGCTTCACCATGCCCAGCTAATTTTTTCTATATATTTTTAGTTAGCCAATTAATCTCTTTCTATTTTTTAGTAGAGACGG